AAATGCAAGAAAACATGTGGCACATTGGGTTGGAAAAGAAGATAGGAAAGTGTACGTAATAAAATGAGGACATGTGCATTTCTCTGTTTAAATATTTTAATACTTAGGGCCTGTTCTATTCAGCTTAATTCGGTTCAGTTTAGTCTAGCTCCAACTAGTTCAGCTCGGTTCAGTTACTAATTTTCTTCTCTTATAAATAATTCATATCAACTCTATTCAGTTCAGTTCAGTTCAGTTCAATTCAATTTATTAGAACATGAAGTATAGATTGTTAAACGTAGAAATTCATTAATTAACATATACTTCTCCAATGATCAATTAGGTTTTTTTTTTTTTTTTTTTTTTTTTTTTTTTTTTACAGGAACGATCAATTAGTAAAATTATAAATGTAGTTTTTATGAAAATGTACAATCGAATTCTAATAGATTTCACATGACTCCGAATCAAATCATGTCATTTCATTAAAAAAAGGAGGATGTATATTTCATTAACAATTTGTATAACCGACATTAATGTCAAACTTTTAAACTAAAGTTTACCGATTTAATTTTTCATACAATTGATGCACACAAATTGTGGTTTGTTGAATAGAGTAAACTAGGTTAGGTACTGTACCATGTACGTCATTTACACTATTTATCATTAGTTTTACACTATACGGGATATAGCCCGTGCAATGCACGATTTTTTCTAAAAAAAATAAAATAAATAGATAAATAAATCTCTATTAAAATTAATTTTTATTTTTTTTATGTAATTAGTGATGCTATCTCATTTGCTGATACTTATGGTTAAGTGACACTTGATTTTTTTTAATAAAAAATCAAAGTAATTTTAAAAGCATTATTCATTTGCCCGAGAAATTTCAAATCATCAATTATTTGTTGTTGTTTTTAGAGTGACCGTTCAATTTAAACTTTCAAATCTCATTTGTGAATTTTACTTACATGGTGGTTATTTATAATTCTAATATTAAAAATATTTTTTTATTGGTCGAATAATATTTTAGCTATATAAAAAATGATAAATTTATTTTTTATTAGTTTATATCAATAAATGACTCTTTTCATTGGTAGACTAATAGTTCTAAAATCAAAATTTAATAAATTGTAAACATGTTATGATATATGTAGAAACTATGAGAGATGGATATAAAATCAATCTGTATGTTCTACTTCTATTTCATATAATGGAGGTATAGATATATATAGATACAATACAATTGATAGAGTTTGTTTGGAGAATAATAAACCCTAAAATCTAGAAAGTTCTGGAATGATACAAGGATATAATGGGCATCTATATATATATATATATATATATATATATATATATATATATATATATATATATATATATATATATATATATATATGTATATATATATGTATATATATGTACATATATATATATATACACACACAAAGCGTTTTGCGTAAGACTGGACTCACGTGAGTCCGGGCTCCTTATTTAAAAAGGCGCGTGCCTGATCAACCCGACCAAAGCCCGCACACCATTTTATAAAGTGTGAATATTTCGTTTTCATCATTTTCATAAAATTTCGTGCGCCGTCATTTACTGAAAATTTTGAACGCTTTCATTTCGTCGAATTTCAACCACTTCATTTCCTCAAATTTCAGAGAATTCAAATCTTCAAATTTCATAAAAAAATGGAGAAATCAAACAATAGAATGATGATTGAAGGAGATTCTGATTCACCTATAGAATCAATTTCTAGCTCAATTACTGCTGAAAAAGGTACAATTCAGTTCATCATTTTGATTGTATTTGAATTTCGAATCATATTTAAGAATTTCAAATTACATAGTTCATGATTTCAGATTGTATCATAGTGAATTTGAAATATGAATTTCTACTTATAATTTGCATGCAAGCCGCAAGCCAAATTGAATTTCAGATCGTAGTAAATTTCGATTTAATATCAGATCGTATTTAAATTCGAGTTAATTTCGACTTATTATATGCAATCAACGCCAATCGAATTTCAGATCGTAGTTAATTTCGACTTATTTGAAAATCAGGCTTAATTTATATTCCAATCGAATTTGAAATCAGGCTTATTTTATATTCCAATCGAATTTGAAATCAGGATTAATTTATATTTCACGAATTGTATATATTACATGTCGCAGAAAATTAATTTTAATTTTAATCCAGTTTTTTGATAATTTTAGAGTGAAATCCAAATATACTAACACTAACTAATGATGAATGCAGCAGATAATGTAATTTTAGGAGACAATATCAATGAAGAAAGAGATGATGAAGAAAGAGATGAAGATGCTGCAAGTATAATAGGTATACTGATAATTAAATGTTCTGTAAAATTATTAAATGCTCTGTAATTTATTGATGTAATTGCAGACAATATAATTCCTGACTAATATTATATGAAACCTGACTGAATTAATTTTATTCCTATGAAACCTATTTCCTAAAAAAAATTATATGGAAATTAGTGAAAATAATGTAAACCTGACTATAATTATTTTAAAACTGACTATTATTAACTTAAACCTGATTATCATTTTCTATTTCCTGTTTAATATAATTTCTTTTCTTTCCAATTCCTATAATTTCTAATTATCATTATCTATTTCCTGACTAAGATAATATATTTCCTGACTAATATATTGTAATTTCTGACCAAAAAAAAAATTCTGATTTGATAAATAAATAAAATTTCTGTATGCTATGATATATCTGAATATTATTATATTAAAACTGAATATCATTATCTGTTTTCTGACCAACATTATCTAATTCCTGACTAACATATGCTAATTCCTGGTATTATAAATTTAAAAACATTTAATTACTGTACATAATATTGATAATAAAATTCCTGACTATTATTATCTGTTTCCTGACTAATATTATCTTTAACCTGAATGAGTTAATTTTATTCCTGACTAATATATTGTAATACCTGATATAAAATATCTAATTCCTGACTAAGATATGCTAATTCCTGAGTATAATAAATTTCAAAAAACATTTAATTATTTTATAACGTCATACAAAACAAAAAATAAAATAAAATCATTTAAATTTATAAAAAAAATACATATTACTGAAATGTTATGTTTTTTAATTCAAATGTAATAAAGTTCAAAACATTGAACATAAGCTACTAATAACATCCTCTATTTTAATTCTTTTTTCCTCTCTATCTAGTTGGCTTGCCTCTTCTTTTTTTCTCTTTCTCTTGTTGGCTTCTTCTTCCGCAAAAATTAAACGTAATCCATCAAGAAATTCAGCCCAGTCTTTCACCATCCCATTGTGAAAACCATAACCATTATGCCTTATAATGTCATATGCAACCCACCATTCATTTGAATTATGATTTCTTCTTACTATTTATGGAATCCAAAATTTGTAATACCATAATTCATTATAATATTTACATGTACAATTAATCATCGCCTGGGCTTTGAAGGTGCACCTAGGGAAAATATGCATGCATAATATCTCTTCAATAGCTAGTGCTGGATGTGCATCTTCTAAGGCATCAATTGGGTGTGCAATATGATTAGCCATCTAAAAAAAAAAAAAAACACATCAATCATAACAAAACAAAATAAAATAAAACTAACAAATGTATGATCATAATATGGAAAAAAATATACCTTTTGTAGTAGCAGTAGTTATATTCATATAAAATTAATTAAAATTCAAACTGAAGCAATTTATAGTTTTATATGAATTTTTTTTTCTGAATATAGTTTCTTGTACACTGTGGTTTCTTATATATAGTGTTTAGAACGTGAATTGGTGCAGTGTTTTGGAAGAGGGAAGGTCATGCCTTTTCAAATATGTGTTTTTCATTTATAATTAACCTCTGTTCTAGTAAATACATTTAATTTTATTCAATTTATTTAATGTCTGGTAAATGATTTTACGTGTTTTTTGAGTGTTTATGTTTTGGAAGAGGGAAGGTCATGACTTTTCAAATTCTAATTCTTGTATGCAATAATTTTTTTTTTTTTTTCTGAATATAGTTTCTTGTACACTGTATTTTCTTATATGTAATGTTTAGAACGTGAATTGGTGCAGTATTTTGGAAGAGGGAAGGTCATGCCTTTTCAAATATGTGTTTTTCATTTATAATTAACCTATGTTCTAGTAAATTCATTTCATTTTATTCAATTAATTTTATGTCTGGTAAATGATTTTACGTGTTTTTTGAGTGTTTTGAGTGTTTATGTTATTTATGGTAAATGATATAGTCAGGAAGGTCATTACTTTTCAAATTTTATTTCTTGTATGCAATAATCTTAAACCTGACTATATCATTTATGTCCCGAGTAATTTATTATCTATTTTCCTGACTGAGATAATTTTATTCTTGACTATTATAATCTAATTTCTTATTCAAACAATTTTTTGACTATTTTTTGAGTAATATTTTGACTATTTTTTGTCACTGAAATTAAATTAATAAAATTGTTTCAATTTAATTTCTGATTGAAACAATTTTATTCCTGAAATATACAATATAATTTCTGATATACTCAAATTAATTCCTAATCAAAACATTTTAATACCTGACATATAGAATTTAATTCCTGACAAAACAAACCTAATAAATGACAAAAATAATCTAATTCCTGAAGATAATGAACAATGAACTACATATAATCAGATACAAATATTATTATTTCTGAATGATATAATTTTATTACTGACCAATATTACCTGTTTCCTGATTAATATAATCCTAAACAAGACTGAGATGATTTATTTCCTAACTAGTATTTAGTAATTCCTGATTTAAATAATCTATTTCCTGACTAAGACATGGTAATTCATAAGTATTATAAATTTAAAAAATATTTATTTACTGTCTATAATATTGTAATTACTGACAAAAATAAATTATATGTTTCATATGTATACTTTTGTTGCAGATTATTACAAATATGACAAGGATGAAAACATAAGTAAATGTCTAGCAAGTTATACAATATCAAACTACAATGAGGGATGTGTTATACAAAGCTCATTCAAGATCTGTTGGTTTCAGTGTCAGAAAATCAACAAAGAGAAGAGATACCAATGATAAATTGTATGAGTTTTATTTTAGATGTTCTAAGGAAGGACATACAAAGGGTAAAATGAAGATAGCAGGTGAACAAAATTATGTGGAAATACCTATATTGGGTAAAACTGATGCAAAAAAGAGAAAAGATAGGGAGGTAAATGAGACAAGAACTGGATGCAAAGCCCATATTTGTTTCAAGAAAAACAAAGAAGGAAATTTCGAAGCTGTTACACATGAGTTGGAGCATAATCATGAATTGGTTATAGCAGTTCAACGATATCATCTAAGATCAGAAAGGCAAATATCAGCTCCAATGGGTGAACTAATTGAGAGCATGATTGAGAGTGGTATTAAACCAATGGATGCTTATAATTATATAAGCAATGAAGCTGGAGGAGAAGAATGTGTAGGTCATACTAAGAGAGATCACCTTAATTATGTATCAAGGGTGAAAATGAGTATGGTTGAAGGTGGAGACATGCAAAATGTATTAGACACCCTTCAAGAAAGAGCAGATCAAGATCCCTCATTCTTTTATAGATTGAAATTTGGAGAAGAAAATAATGTTGTGAGCTATTTTTGGCGTGACTCCCAAATGCTTGAAGATTTCAAAGCTTATGGTGATGTTTTAATCTTCGATACAACATACAGAACAAACAAATATGGGTCGATATGTGCTCCATTTGTTGGTATAAAAAATCACTGGAAAACAACAATGTTTGGATGTGCATTCATCACTGATGAAAAGACTGATACATTTGTTTGGCTGCTTTCAATCTTCAAAAATTCAATGTGTGGAATTGAACCAAAATCAATCTTCACTGATCAAGATCTTGCAATGAGCAACGCCATACCGGAGGTAAGCATTTTCAGCTTAATATTTGTATTTGTATTTTATATTGGGATATGTTTTGTATCAAATAAAATAATCTTGAATTTTAATAATGTTTTACCCGAAAAAAGTATTAAGCCTGACTTAAATCAATCAATGACTAATATAAAACACATTATATCTAACTGATATTTTCTAATTCCTGTCTAAGTTATATGTATTTCTGAGTTAAAAATATCAAATAATAACCTATAATTAAAATCTGAAATATTTAAATCCTGACTAAAATATTGTTATATCTGACAACAATTATTTAATATCTGACCATAATATACGAATAGTGATGTGTCTATTTTATATTGTATTTTACCCCCGTCCCTTGGTCGTAATTAGTAGTGTTTTTGGCTCTTTAGAGCCACTTTTATTACTAATTGGTGTTTTCTAGTGTTTTCGTAGGTTTGGTTGACTTTTGCAGGAATTTATGCTTTTGGAGTATTTTACCGAGATATTTAGGAGCAATCACGAGCATTGGAGAAACACGACCAGATTTTATAGCCCAGGGCCGGTTAGAGCCATCAAACCGGTGATTAAGGGCTCGGTATAGGTGATACCAGGGCATTTGGACCGAGTATTCAAGACCCAAAGGGGAAACCCAGATTGGCCCGAAGAATTGAAGCCCAATCGAAGTCCAAATATTGGCCCAAATGAGCCGCCCGGCCAAAAAGGATGGCGCCCGGAGGCTCGCCGGCCGGGCGGGAGGAGCGCCCGGTGACGCGCCCGGCCGGGCGCGAGATTAGTGTTAGAGGTGAAAAAAGGCGCGCCCGATCGGGCGGTGCCTCGCCCGATCGGGCGCGTGTATTTTTAGGAGACGATTAGAATCGTTTTAATTTGTTTTAGTTTAGGATTCTTGTACGGAGTATAAATACTCCTCCGTAATACGATTTTAGGACCTCTTCTTCTTCTCTTAATCCTTTCTCTTAGTTTTCTCTCTCTACTTAGACTTCTTTCTCTAAACTCTCTCTCTAAACCTTTGTTATTATTTCTTTGATTAATTTCAGATTTATTTTGGTAACGATTTCTTTTCCCTTAATCTTAGTTATTTATTTTATTCCTTTGATCATGATTTATTTTATTGCTCTGCTTAGTTTATATTTAATTATGTGTGAGTAATTTAATTTCTAGGGTTCATGGGGATCTAATAAATAATATGAAGGGGTAAATTATTGTTGTTGATTATCAATGCTAGATTAATTTCCTATTGATTGAATTAATGCTCTGTGACTAGATTTGGCCCATCTTTTATGCATGAGTTTGACAATATTGATTCAAGAATCGAGAGATGAGAATTAATGTTTAGGTCTAGTTTCAATAGGCGAGTTAATTTATAAATGGTTAAGTCAAGAATCGAGAGATGAGATTTAATACCGATAAATTAATTGTGTGATTGTAATAAGTAGCGAGAGCCCTTTACAATTTGGTTAACTGATGCATTGATGATTGACTATTATTGATTGTTGGTATTGCATGATAATTTCTTACTGGATTGTTTTAATGTTTTACAATTGCGGCTTGTAAAAGTACAGCAATGTTAAATTGATGAATCGAGCAGATGTTAATTTGATATTAAAGGCTATTTTCAATAAGAACTTAGATCTAGTAAATTGCGAGAGCCTGTTAGATCTATGTTGATTAATAAATTGCGAGAGCCTGTTAATCATGTTATTTATGCCATGTCAATAGTTGATTACTATGTTTTACCCTGGAGTATTATTTATTGGTCAACCTATGCCCTAGATCCTTTCATATATTGTTATCTTCCTATTCTCAACTTTAGTAGTTTAGTTTCTTACTTAATTATAAATATTGGTTACTTAAATAATTTAGATTATAATAATTAATTAGGAGTAAAAAGACTTGTTTCCCTGTGGAGATCGACCATACTTCCCTATCTACTTTAGTTAGAGGATTTAGGTATTACTTTTGATTAGGGGATACGACTTTACCCTGTCAAAATTTGGCGCCGTTGCCGGGGAAACGATTTTATTTTTATTTCTAATTATTTTTAGAGTCTAGATTATTTTTATTTTTTATTATTATTATTTAATTTTTTTTTTATGAGTTGAAAATATCCATGCTTATGTCACTACAAGAATTATATAATTTTTATGCAGCACCTAACTACTGTAGTTGTCAACGTCTTTGTCATGAAAATCCTGAATGCCCTTATAGTGAGTTTTTTTGTGCGTGCTCCTGATGATTTTAGAGTCTTTCCATATACATATGATCATATTCGGAAACGATTAGTTGCTAATGAAAGTTATTGGAAGGCTCTTGATGAAAAAGTCTATGGGCACTATAATAATATGAATGTTATTGAGGATGAAGAACCATCAGTTATAGAATTTGTGGTTGAAAAATCATTGGTTGACGAATCGGTGATTGAAAAATCATTAGTTGTAGAAACGGTGGTTGAAAATTCCTTTGTTGATAATGAGGTTATTCGTAAGGGTGGAATTTTCAAGTCATTGTTGGATGATAAGGACAATGACTACCTCCATGTTCGTTCTATTAATTCTAAATTTTTAACGGAGGAAGTAGAAGGTTGTGGTGTATTTTCATCTCCCTCTTTTTATTTTTCCTTCTACCTTGAGTTCTCTTTATGTGCTCCTGACTTTTTCTTTGTAGGGATAAATGTGCCTGCTATTAAGCCCTATATAGTGCTTAATGAAATGTTTGCAGGAGCGTTTGATAAGTTACTCAAGGCATTGAATTCTTCCGATTGAGAGAAGGAGTATGGTCGAGCGGGACCTTGATAAACTAGCGCTTTGCGGGAGGCAACCCGTATTTTTTTGCTTTTTATTTATTTTTTATTTATTTGTTTGTGTGTTTTCTTCTTGTTTTGTTTTAAAGAGGTAGAGGAGAGTATATCTTATATTTGTGGGAGTGTGATTTTGTGCACAGATACTAGAAAAGTTGAGAAAAGATCGAAGGGCTAAAGGAATCCCGGGGCAATTAGCAGCAGCAAGCTGCCCCGTCAAATCAGTAGCACGGGCCCGATCGGGCAGAGCTCGCCCGATTGGGCGCGCGTACGCGTCCGCAAACTTTGTCAACTTCGACAGGCCATAACGTTTGCGTTTCTTATCCGATTTTTGCGTGTGACCTGTCGTTGGAAAGCTATTTAAGTCTAGTTTCCAATGCAATTAGAATCACTGTATTATCATTTATATATCAAAATTTATGATCAGAATAGTGCACCTGACTCAAATTTGAACTTTTTCCCACTAACACTTTGTTTCTTTCTTGCCCAAATTTGTTCCAAAGAGATGCATTGCAATCCTCAGGGCTTTTGGTGACATTGATGTGGTGATGATGAAGAGTAGTCACCTTGACTACTAACTTTCCTTTAAGACAATGAGGACATTGTCTAATTTAGCTTGGGGGAAGGTTCTCGTGTGCGCTTGGTATATCTTTCACCCTCTCTCTTTTTATTTTATTTTATTTTTTTTATTTATTTATTTTTCTTTTGGTGTGCTTAGTAGATTTTATTGCTTTCTTAGGTTAGTTTTATTTCTTTCAAAAATAAAAAAAAAATAATAAAAAAAATCCAAAAATATATTCCAATGAATTGTAAATCATGTTTCCCTGTGCCCCTTACTTCTTGGTTATTGATAATGAGCATTGTGGATTTGTTGGTCATGATTTGAAATCTAATTGTTTGGATACCTTAACATGCGTCAATTCTGTCCAACTACTTGTGAATATAGTGCTTGACTAGTTGATTTGGTTAGGAAATGTGTGATAGTTCCATAATTCCTGGTATGTCAATGAATTTGAGTATTGGTTTGCAACTATAAGTAATGTTTATATGATTCATTATTATGCACATTGTGGAGGACGAAGGCATTTGTTCTTTTAGGTAGCCTCCAGATGATTGTAGATACATTTGTTCCCTTCTTGCTACCCATGTTGTTGCCTTGACCTTTTGTTGTCTATTAGCCGCATTACAAGCCTATTTTACCCCATTGGTTACTAGTTCCAAGCTTGGCTTGGGGGAGCTATTAGTGAGTGAGGTGAGGGAGTTTGTAGTGTGCTTATTATTTGCGCAATATGGGTGGGATTTGAGAAGTTGTTTTGCTTTTGATCATGTTTATTTTTTTGATGAGTTTGAGAGTTATATTGTTTTGAAAAAATAAAGCATGATGTTATGAAAAAATAGAAGTTCAAAGAAAAAAAAATGTGAAAAAAAGTGAACTTCAATAGAAAAAAAAGAAAAAAAAAGTGTTCAAATGTTCTAGTTGGAGGTTGATCAAAAGAAAAATAATAGAACTTCTATGAAAATTCAAGTTTGGAAAATAAAGGTTGTTTATTCACTCTATTACTTCATTATTATATCTTATGAGTGAAATTGTAAGAGTTGGGTTTATTTATTATGATTAGAGTATATTTTGGTTGATGTTAGAGTTGGTTATGTAGGAGATGTTGATCACTATTTATTTTGATCATGGGTTTTATTAGAATATAGCTCCTTTGAGCATAGCTTTTCTCTCACTTATTCCCAAATTTATCCTACCCTTTACCCTAGCCTTACATTACAAGCTTTAAAGACCTTCCGACCTTTGTGCATAGAATTGTATGAATGTGAAAGTGTTGTTTATCAATGCAAGTTATGATTTGACATATTTCGAGTCGACTAGTAGGTTGAGCGTTCATTGTTTTATACACACGAGAGTGTGAGTTGGGAGGGCATTGTTCACATAAAGGGGTTGGATGGAGAGCGATCGAGTACATCTTTTACTCGCCAAAAAAATGAGAGTCGAGTGTGTGAGCACTAGTCTTGAATTCTATATGCTCTTGTGGTTTGCTCTATTTGAAAATTGTTAGGGAAGAAAGGTAATTGGATGGATTTGATTGGTTGACTTTGAAGCATGTTTATTTGATTTACCCTGGATCGTTTGTGCTTGATTTTTACTTATTGGGGTGAAGCATATTTATTGATTCATTGATGAGATCTTTGCTTAGGGACAAGCAAAGGTTTGGCTTGGGGGAGTTTGATGTTTCTATATTATATTGTATTTTACCCCCGTCCCTTGGTCGTAATTAGTAGTGTTTTTGGCTCTTTAGAGCCACTTTTATTACTAATTGGTGTTTTCTAGTGTTTTCGTAGGTTTGGTTGACTTTTGCAGGGATTTATGCTTTTGGAGTATTTTCCCGAGATATTTAGGAGCAATCACGAGCATTGGAGAAACACGACCAGATTTTATAGCCCAGGGCCGGTTAGAACCATTGAACCGGTGATTAAGGGCTCGGTATAGGTGATACCGGGGCCTTTGGACCGAGTATTCAAGACCCAAAGAGGAAACCCAGATTGGCCCGAAGAATTGAAGCCCAATCGAAGTCCAAATATTGGCCCAAATGAGCCGCCCGGCCAAAAAGGATGGCGCCCGGAGGCGCGCCTGGCCGGCCGGGAGGAGCGCCCGGTGACGCGCCCGGCCGGGCGCGAGATTAGTGTTAGAGGTGAAAAAAGGCGCGCCCGATCGGGTGCGTGTATTTTTAGGAGACGATTAGAATCGTTTTAATTTGTTTTAGTTTAGGATTCTTGTACGGAGTATAAATACTCCTCCGTAATACGATTTTAGGACCTCTTCTTCTTATCTTAATCCTTTCTCTTAGTTTTCTCTCTCTACTTAGACTTCTTTCTCTAAACTCTCTCTCTAAACCTTTGTTATTATTTCTTTGATTAATTTCAGATTTATTTTGGTAACGATTTCTTTTCCCTTAATCTTAGTTATTTATTTTATTCCTTTGATCATGATTTATTTTATTGCTCTGCTTAGTTTATATTTAATTATGTGTGAGTAATTTAATTTCTAGGGTTCATGGGGATCTAATAAATAATATGAAGGGGTAAATTATTGTTGTTGATTATCAATGCTAGATTAATTTCCTATTGATTGAATTAATGCTCTGTGACTAGATTTGGCCCATCTTTTATGCATGAGTTTGACAATATTGATTCAAGAATCGAGAGATGAGAATTAATGTTTAGGTCTAGTTTCAATAGGCGAGTTAATTTATAAATGGTTAAGTCAAGAATCGAGAGATGAGATTTAATACCGATAAATTAATTGTGTGATTGTAATAAGTAGCGAGAGCCCTTTACAATTTGGTTAACTGATGCATTGATGATTGACTATTATTGATTGTTGGTATTGCATGATAATTTCTTACTGGATTGTTTTAATGTTTTACAATTGTGGCTTGTAAAAGTACAACAATGTTAAATTGATGAATCGAGCAGATGTTAATTTGATATTAAAGGCTATTTTCAATAAGAACTTAGATCTAGTAAATTGCGAGAGCCTGTTAGATCTATGTTGATTAATAAATTGCGAGAGCCTGTTAATCATGTTATTTATGCCATGTCAATAGTTGATTACTATGTTTTACCCTGGAGTATTATTTATTGGTCAACCTATGCCCTAGATCCTTTCATATATTGTTATCTTCCTATTCTCAACCTTAGTAGTTTAGTTTCTTACTTAATTATAAATATTGGTTACTTAAATAATTTAGATTATAATAATTAATTAGGAGTAAAAAGACTTGTTTCCCTGTGGAGATCGACCATACTTCCCTATCTACTTTAGTTAGAGGATTTAGGTATTACTTTTGATTAGGGGATACGACTTTACCCTGTCAAATAGATAAATAAAACTTTATATTTAATTTATACATTTTAATACCTGACTAATAAACTGTTATGCATCACAAAAATAAATTAAAAACTAATGGAGTTATATAATATCTGACTTTAACTCTTTAATACCTGACATAAATATGTCAATTACTGCCATGATTTATATAATATCTGACTGTAAAATGAAATTATTTGATTTCTGTCTAAGTAATGACTATAACTTTACTAATACCTAATAAATATCATGTAATATCTGACATTATATATTTAATATGTAATTAAAACACTTTAATTCCTGACTAACAAATTGTTATGCCTGACAAAAATAGATTAATAACTGACATGATATATATAATATCTGACTTTGACTCTATAATACCTGATAAAAATATATTAATTACTGTAATTACTTATCTAATATCTGACTATAAGAAGAAACTATTTGAATATCATGTTATTCCGTATGAATTTCATGCAATTTTTGACCAAATTAATCTAAAAACTGACTAACATATTATTATTCCTAACAAAAAGAGATTAATAACTTACATAAATCAAATAACACTAATTAAAGTCTGAAAATATCTAATTCCTGTCTAAAATATAGTAATATCTGTCTAGAATCATTTCATATCTGACTTTAATATAAGAATAGCTGAATAAAATTTTATCATTCCTTAGAAAAACACAACAAAAATAATTTTCTGAGAGATATGATTTATTTCCTGCCCTAAATAATATAATACATGAGTAAAAATATAATAATCGTGAAAGAAATAATATTATTTCTGATTTTTAATACAATGGAATAACTTAAATCACCTTAATTCCTATTATATGAAACTATTAATTTATTATCTGACTATAATACTTTAAATGGTGAATACTATATTATTATGCCTGACAAAAATAGAAGAATAATTAACGTTAAATATATAATATCTGATTGTTACTCTTTTAATCCTGACTAAAATTTCGAGATTATCTGTCAAAA